TGTAGCATTTTATCATTAGTAAGTGAATAACAGATTCATTCTGGAGCAACGGCATCACTACTGTAAACAAGGAGTTTGATCATCAGGCAGTTTCCACTGGTTGTTCAACTGCTTTTAAGCATTTAAGCATTTGGTAGGAGTTTGTCACAAAAATACACCTCGAAACACGACCAATGTGTTGCTGCTTTAGCGCAAACACAAGTGGGTTGTTTTTTTTATTTTTTTGTTTGTTTTGGTTTTTTTGTTTTTTTTGGGGGGGGAGGGGGGCGGCTGCACATAGAGCAGAAGAGCATTAATAATCAGTGAAAAAAGCTGCAAGTTATTTTGATCGTGCTTTTTGAAAATTAAATATTGCATCAGAGGACTAAAGGTGGTTTGGCCCTTTGTAAGTCATTTTTTAAACAAGCTTTATAAATAAAAATAACACATTATTGTTATTTAATTTGGTTTTCTCCAATTTTTATAAATGTAATGGCATATATTTCTTTTTAGAGCATATAAAGCTTAGATAGATTTATTACAAAATATATACATTTTAAAAAAATATTTTTTAGCATTTGCTACCAGACGTACAAAATTACAGCTGCGCAACGTCTAGCCGAGTGGATGTCCCCTCCATGTGAGAGAATTCAGCTGCGATGGGGAAGCAGCAGGGGTCCACTCGTCTGCCTTTATTCGGTTCACCGTGAGCCCGGCTGCCTCTTTAACTTCTGGCACGCATAGGAATATTTATGTGTGTGTTTTTAAGAAAAAAAAAGGGGAAAAAAAGAAGAGAGAAAGGGTGCAGAAGTAAGCGCCCTGCTGCACTCCGTATATGTGTGCAAGTGTGTTTGTGTGTGTCAGTAATACCTCCAATGGCAGCCTAATGATAGGTCTTATCGACACCCAGCAGTGAATACGGGCCTTTGTCTCCTCTCGGAACGCATTATGAAAAGCTTAGGGGGTTGCCTTTGACTCCATTTTATTCTCTCACCCACTGATAAAACCCCAGTAACAAAAAAGGCAACCGTTATACAGCTCCTGTAGTGTAGCAAGTTTAGTCACAATACAACCCCTCTCCCCGATCCATACCCACGTGATAATAAGCAAAAAGTTGGGCGCACGGCTTAGAAACTCATAAGTCACTCACAAAAGACAGAGATTAAGACTGGAATTTTACATTTTGAAAAACAAATTCACAATGCCTGAAATTACCATTCATTTCAAATATCAAGTATATAGGCTGCATTAACGGAAAAGGGAAAGCCACAAGATTCAAATGTGTGGTGATGGTGAAGGATTGTTATATAGCAGAGTTTAAATTCTTTTCAATGGCAGTGGGTAACACAGCAGTGACACATGATAGCAGGCTGTTAGTGATATACAAATTACACTAAAAAAACATACATAGCTTGTGACTGTGTAAGATTCTGTTTTTATTTCAATCTGTGAATATAGCTTTTGTCTTTCAACCCTAATTTACATCACATATGTCAACATCTGGCTTCCCTAAATATTACATATCTACATGTACATTGTAGATATACAGCTTTTACCAAAATAAAAGCTGTACATAATATATATATATATCTTTTCCTTATTCATGCTCCAAAGCTGGTGCTATTTTCAAATGTATGCCATCTCACTTCAAAACAAACAGTGATATTAATGGCTCCCAATTTCAAGAACAACTGAGCTTATCTGGGGATAAGTTTAGTTTGTACCTTTCACTAGACTGTAAAATAACTAACTTTTCTTCTGCAGTGAAGGTTCTGTTCATTACTGTGCTCATTTGTGGGTTAGAGGTTGGGGCAGGGTCCCTTAGACAAACAGTTTATGAAATGAAAATGTTTTCGTTTCCAGCGATGGTAAGAGCAACTTCTCACATTTTTAAGAGTTCAGTATTACAGCTACTTTGGGGAGTATAGCCATTACAGTCTATCCCTGCAGAGTTAATAAAATCTTCTGCCTCTATGTTCTTTCTCACTCTTACTTCACAAGGTTTTTTCTTTTTCTCTCTCTCTGAAAAACTGTATGTAAGTACATTACATTCTTACTCTCAGTTGTTTGGATTTTTCTTCGAACCCTCCTTTCAACGCATCTCCAAAGATCATTAAAACAGGCTGCAGTACTTTACTCACTCTTTCTTCCTTTGCATTTCTCTACATTGTCTTTCTCTGTCTTAATCTTAAAGAGAAGAGCAATAAAGACTATCAGAACATAGACTTTCTCAGAAATCATCCCCCTCTGCATCCATGTTGCTGGCATAGCGATCCTATAGAAAGCTCCCAAGGCCAAGAGCAGATTTAGGGGACTCATTTAGTAGGCAGGTAGAGTTGAGACTTCCCCTCCACCTCCATCCCATTCTTCACAATTAGAGAGGCCAGGAAGTGGAGTATTTTATGACCTTATAAAGACATTAGAGGCACTGCCGCATTGCCCCCGGACACCCCCCTCCCAGTTCTTTACTTCTTGTCTACTTTTGGACTCTCCATGCTTGCTTTGACGTTTCTCCAGCAACCTCTTCCTGTCTTGTTTCTTGTTCCATCTTCTCACCCTCTTTTGTTTTAATTTTTATCCATTTCTGCCTGATCATCACCCCCCAATCAATCTTTCATCCATCCATCCATTTTGAAACAGCATTCTCCATTAAAACTCAATAAAGGCTCTCATTCGAATCCTCAGAATTCTCCTCGTATTACGTTTTATTGGTGACGGGGTGTCTATGGTTTTAAAAAAAGAGCAAGTTGTTTTGAGGAGTTCTTTGTGTGGATAAAAATGGTCCCATTTTCGACACTTGTCTGTTAGGCTTTCATGGTCGCCTCCGACGCAGTGTGTCCAAGCCCCTCACCTCCCCGCACTGCTGCAAACTATTGTCCATCATGTGTTGATTATTTTGCGTGAGTGTGAAACTGACAATTACTCGCTCTGTCCCAGAGTCCTGCGTTGAATCAATATGACATGACGGAGTGACTCATTTGGCCGTCATTCTCTCGTTCATATATTTGAAATATGAAACCTTGTGACACACTGTGGCAGCCCACCTCCTTATACACAAATGGACACTGACAGAGAACCATGCTGGTGCTTGTCCTGCGGCTTTTAAAGCCAGCTTAGATAGACTCGGCTGCTCCTGAAAGGTCCTATTCCACAGAAGCAGAGGGCAGACACACTTGGTAGGAAAGAAAAAAGAAAGAAAGGGGGGGTAGTGGCATGTCTGGATATTTGCTTAAAACATCCTTCACCTTTTTCCTCTCTTTCTTCCTTGCATCATTTGACCAGTAACCTAAAACAATGGCGTTTCCCTCAAAATCCCAGATGGTTAATGCGTAGCACATCCATCAGAAGAATAATGTTCCTTCTTGAAACAGCTTCAAAACCACTTCCATTTTAAAGCACTTTGTTCTGGTCCAGCTGGAGTGATTTGGACAGACATGTAAAAAGTAAGGAAGCGCAATAATTACAACTGATTACTGTTGGAATTCCGACGACCGCTTGGAGGAAAGCTTCCCATTTATTTAAACCAACGCTCTACCCCCCTTAACTATTCGAACTAATAGCTTTCAAAATTATCCTCATCATCATATCCTGTCCTTTAAAATGGTGGTGGTTGTAGAAAATAGATCAGGTCAGAGCAGCAGTGCGAGCTCGAATGGAAGAGCTACACAAGTGACACAATTCAACAAGGAAAGAACCAAAAGGAGTTAGGAGAAATAGGTAAGAGCAACTAAGAGAGAGATCAGAGAGAAGGTGGATCAGGCTGACGTGAAATGAAGTGAAGCATTCTGAATTGAATTTTTGCCTTTTGTAAGGAACCTTTTTGATAGGTAATGTTAAACTGGTGATCCCTTTGCTGGACAAGGCAATATGATGAGTGGAGAAACAGTTTTTTATTGGAAGGGCACACACATTAACCCCCAATTCCAGAAGATTTCCAGGTTCAGTTCCCTCCAATTCAACCAATTACTGAAAAGATAAATGAAATCAAGGACAGTAAATGTAATAGTACCAATAGTGGCGGGTAAAAATCCTCATATACATCTCAAGTAATATGGATCTTCCCTTTCTAAAAATAATAAGAAAAAATGGACTAGATACATAAATACTGGAAGACAATTCACACATTGCTATTGTAAAGTCTGGGTGGAAGGCTGATGTAGAAGAGAAGAGAGAGTCTCATCAGAAGAGAGGATGGCAAGAACTGAGAAAAACAACATTTTCTTTTTCCTCTCGGCGCCTCTCCTCTCTAACCATCCCCCTATCTGTGCATGGTGGCAGCCATTCTGTCCATGACTGCATGGTGGAAAATGATTTAGTGCTGCCTTCAGCCTCACACAGAGAGGGTGAGAAGATTACTCTCCGAGAGGCTGCTCACTTCGGGAACAGCTGAAACGCAGTTAAGACGGCGAAGGTGGCATCCCTGAAAAGAGGACTGTTTAGTCTAATGGCCGCTGAAGAGAAAGAGTCAAATCTGCACGGCGTGAAATGGAAATGCAGCGCAAGAGGCTTTGTAATTCCACGAAACCTTTCTTCAGTGCGGATCGAAATGGTTCCTTCATACAAATAGACATTGATTTTTAAATAGTTGTAGAATTTTAAGAAAATACTTTTTTTTTTACTATTAATAGGTACAAACAACATTTTCAGGAAGTTTCTACTTTTCTGAGAGATTCATTCCTAAAATAAATATCAGTATACACAGATGTGCTGGTGGGTTTCTCATCAGCAGAGAGCAACGATCATTAGAGGAAAAAAAGATAACGACGGGAATGAAGATCGGGAGGCAGTTGATGACTCAGACAGGATGATGTGTTCTTCAAATGGTGGCTGGGGTCTGACACCAGGGACACATGCACGCACATACATACATACAACAGACACATTCAAACAACTCACAAAAACATGCAAACATCAAACTCACCCCAGGTGCACAGCTGACTCAGGCAACTAAATGAAAAGGTAACAGATACAAAGACAAGACAATATATAACCCCCCTCCAGAGTAAACTGAGCTCCCTTACCTCTTTCACTTGTCTTTTTTGCTCCTCTACCCGCTCCTTCACTCTGCATCGATGGCTAACGCTGTGAGCACCCCTCTTCTCGTTCCAGCTCTTTTCCCGACCTGACGGAGCAAAAGAAGAAAAACAAAGTGCATACGAACAGTTAAGAAACTGTTTCACTGGAATGGAGCCAACTCAAAAAAAATCCCAAAACCTATAAATAAATAAAACTCTCCACAAAGCAGACGGGCCTTATGGAGTACCAGCTTTCGCGTGTAATTGAGTTATCTGTAACCATTTTCTTACTCATGGCATACAGCAAATTTAAAGAACAAGATAAGTGATTAGAAATCAGTTCAGTTCACGACCTAAAAACTGCAAGTGTTTGAAGTCGAGATATGTTTTGTGATGTGGAATTCCAAAGTGTTGAGTAACCGAACAAAAGAAAAACCCAGAAGAAAAGAGATATACTGAACTCAGCAGAAAGATCAGTGCAAATGGAAATGAGGTTCAAGTTGGGGTCAGGAAACACTGACTGGCAACCAGTGGAAGAGAAGAGCCATGCAATGATGATGACAATGACGATCGTTTTAGCCACTAACAGTTTGTCTAACTTTGTCTATTTCATCTTTCCTCTCCTTGGCTTGACTTGTTTGACCTGTAATTGTTACATTTAGATTTTTTTAAGCTGTACTACTTATACAAGCATTGTAAAAAAAAATCTGTTTGCGTGCATGTGTGTGATGAAATTGCTAACAGCTGTGACAGCCACTATTGTGCACATGCACACACTCTTTTCTGCATCTCATTTGTAGCATGCAGCTGCACAGATAAAACATGAGGGTTAAGCAAATATTGTACAATAGCCAGAAAACAATGCACCCCCATCCCTCCCCTATCACACTCTCTCTCACTCACTCACACACAAACACACACAGCTAAGATTGTGCCAAATGTGTGTGTAGAAAAAAAAAGACTGGCACTGCTTGTCCTCTTTATTACTGTGAACAGAGCAGACACCCCTGCTCCCCTCCCATTCATTTTAATCTCTTTTCTTAATGATAAACCTCCTCAGTCACACTCTCTCTCTCCGTCTGTACCCCTCCAACCACACCCCTCCAGTCTGGTGTCGGCTCTCTAGTATGGCAGTAACAGTGCTCCTTTGTTTGTCCTCCTCCCCTCGTCTCTTTTTGCCCCCTCACCCTGACCTGAATGATGCTGGTTGGCCGGGATGGAGGCATGCCTCAACAGGAACGCCAGGGAAGAGAAAGGGGAGGGAGCGAAGGCGGATAAGCGCAGGTTTGGGGGGGGGGGGGGGGGGGACGTAAATAAAAAAATTTGTAGGGGCCTGACAGTCATTTGCTCTTATTCATCTGTCTATTTGGCATTGCAGAAGAGACCATTTGTGAGAAAAAAGGAAGGTTGGCTGGAAGGGACCACACCCTCAGTGAATCCACCAATCCCAATTTACAGAAAGCCTTTACAAAAGGTCTATTTCTGGTTTGAACAGTGAGGCTAATTTTAAAACACAAAGTAAAAATAGAAAAGAGAAGTTGTGATCTTTATTTCTACTCTGAATGAACCAATGCTTGCGGGTAAGAAGAAAAACGGCTCTGTTCCTTGGCTTTTGCATTTATGCGGCTAAGAAATAATGCGCATGATATTCCAACAGGGCATTTTTAAAAATAGCCTCTAAGTACACAATGCGCAATTTCTCATTTATGCAAAGAAAATAGTGGCCCTGCCCAGTGAGGTTAGTTGAGACATAATTTTAGCCGTTTCATTCTGGTACCACTGCTGGAGCTGCAAACCCAGTTTCCTAATAGCATAAATACTGCTCTTGTAATGGTGCCTGGGGGATGTCTCATTTGGAAGTGAGGGAGACAGCACAGTAGAGCAGTACCTTTTACACTTAGCCAAAAACCCACATGTGCGCACACACACACACACACAGGCTGTGGATCATTAACCCCAACTAATCTACAAACATTATGTTTATAGAAAACGCCTTTCCAGCTTAGGCGACCGGCACAGCCAAGCCACGTTAATTCATTGAGCGAGTGTGTGTGAGCGAATTTGTGTGTGGCGTATCTGTGAGCTATAATGACAAGTGTGTCATGTCTCTCAGTATGCATGTGTGTCACGGCCGCCTGTGTCTACGGTGTCTGCTGTGACAGACACAGAGAGAACATGACAGAGACAGCGAAAGTGCGCGCTAATGTGTGCGTACGAGCGCCTGTGCGCGTGCATTTGTGTGGCGTGACTATGCCAGTGATGCAGCTCACAGCCTTGATCTAGGCTCCTGCCTCTCTCCAACACCCGCTGTGCCTGCTTCATTAATCAATAGGACAGATGAAGACAGACTCCTGCTGCGCTGTGAGGGAAAACGGTAGCTTGCGTGCGCAAGCGTCGTGCGTTTGTGTGTGTGCAAATTTCAGCGTGTAAGAAAGCTGGAATGCCCTCGGGTAGAACGTGGCAGACATGATGCAAACCTTCAAGGCTTCCTGCCCACACAGAGATCATCAACACTGGATTTGCCTTCTTCTACCTCCAATGGGAAAAAAAGTTAGAGGGAAGGAAATAAACAAAGGAGTTATTACATTTGTTTTTGTGTAAGCATTATTCTAATAAATTGCATTATTTTCTCATCACTTCAAGAGCCTGGAGGGATATCTGATTTTGGAGGTCTAACATGTATGTCAGATTACACAGAATAAATAGCAGCTTTTTGGTATCACAACTCTTCTCCCTCATCTTCAGGGGGATACAGGAGGAGCGCCAAAGAAAATCTCCCTATTGGTCAGTTTGAGCCCTAGATAACAGTTACACACAAACACATAACTGCTCAGAAACACACACCTTAATTGCCACTGTTGTGTTTATTTACACCCTGTTATAGATATAAAAAAATCTTTATGCAAAATGGGTTTAATACACCTTAAGGCGCAGTCAAATAAAGTGTAAAATGTTCAAGCTTCCAAAATCAGGTTAGGCAGATTTTTAAGCTTTTTTTTTCTGTCAAATGCACACAAACGGAAGAGATGCCTAAAACTGCCACTTGTGTAAAGCTTGCATTGGCTAAAGTGATCAAGAACAGCTTGCTGGGTGTCATCAAAACTCCTGATGCATTTACTCATCTGCAGAGCAGGAAGGTACACTCTTACAACGTGCACATTTGAAGCAACGTTAAGTTGTTATGTGATTAGTCATTGCAGGGTCCCGTGTTGAGTCAGACCGAGTAGCAGGCTTTACGTTAGAAAACCAAAACGTTTCCCACAGTCAGCACGATTGCTTTTGTTCAATGTTGAGCATCTTCTGTCACTCTATTAAGATACAGTAGATTTGTACAACCATTTATATCAGTTTACTACTGAACCATACAACTATATATATTGCAGAACATTATGTTATGGTAGAAAGCTGTCTGGAATTAATAACTCTTAATCACAAGACCAGTGTTTTGCATCAATTTCACATTTTCTAACAAAGTCATTATCAATGAAATTTGAAAAAGTAATTGTGTACAAATAGCAGGAAGCTAGATTTGAGTTTATTTTGGTACTGGGAATGAGGAATGCGTGTCATTTCCTGGTGCTCCAAATGGCCAAATGACTTGAATGCAAAGCCACAGAGGCCATTTCTCCCACAGCGCCCAAATCCTGCAGAGCTGTTATCAGTCATTGGGACGTTTTGTCTCCTCAGTATACAGCAAGGCCATTTTGTTTGTTTTCAATGTAACTTGTGATATTTGGCTGGGACTCAGTGCCCTCTATGTTAGTCATTGTGCTGAGATGAATGAATCTTTCTTCCAAATTTCATACAGAGATGCACTGTGTGAAACCATAGAGACACCTTTGAGACCACTAAACTGGTCTCCAGATTATTTGTGTAGCCACCAAACAATAGAACTGTTTGTATGAACAGCTATGAAGCGAGTGTTAAGCCTCGATTCAAAGGAAATTCTGCTAATGCTTTTAGGCATAACACAGATTGCTTTTTTATGAATCGAGACTTTTCAATTTATCTTTTTCGAATACCGCAAATTCTAAAAGTTACCGAAACAACAGCGTCAACTAGGCTTGCATCAGCTCTCCTTCATCTCTCAGTTGGCTTTTCAAGAAACCACACATAAAATCAAGATTAAGAGTGGTGGGGAAAAGGGGAAAAAAAGCATAACACCTTATTGTTCAAATTAGTAGGGGCAAAAAAAAAGCCGTAAAGAGTTGGTTGATTTCAGCATTCATAGATTAGCGAAGAATTTTGGTTTCATCTTGTTTTTTTGAGGGATTTTTCCGAACCGTGCACCACTTTAACATAGCAATTTTTTTCCCTTTTTATCTTCAGTGACTCATAACAAAGCCAACTGTTTACTCATAACAATATGCTTCTAACTGATAATATTCTGAGAATATCCTCGTAGTCCCTTTATATCTATGTCTTGCAAGTCATTTACAGAAATACATTAAAAATGCGTTATGTAAGTAAAGAACGGAGGGGGGAAAAAATCTGACGCGGCAGCTGTTATGGAGTGGTTTTATATCAGTATTTGGGTGAATTGTGGATTTTTATCCATAAAGTAAGCATAAAATTGTATATTAAGAAAAAAAAACAACTAATGGGAGAAATAGTAAGTTGACTTTTGTCAACACTGAAAAAAAGAAGATGAATTCCAGTGTCACGTCCTAACCCAAAACGCCCTGATTGCACAGGCACATTGTGCGTTTGACATTGCACGTCTGACACTCAGACAAAGAAGCCGATAGAGGCCTCAAGGGGGCAGATGACAAACACTACTAAACCATGGCCAGACACGACCCCCACCCGCCTCCATCACCACAACAAACGCACGGTATAGACAAACTTATTCAGAGTATATTAGGGAGGTGAAGGGGGCCAGGCTCTCAGGGACTCTCTTCACTTGGCTGTCCTAATCGTCTGAGACAACCCTCCAGAGACAGACCTTCCCGCCCACAAACCCAACTCCCCCCTCCCAAGGCATGAACCCAGACACATCCAGGAGTGTTTACAAGGGCAGGCAGCCATGACGTGGGGAAGCTGACCAAAATGAACAGCCCCACTGGGAGCTGTAGTTTAATTGTCCATCTTCTTCTTGGTCCAAATT